TAGGCAAGTTTTTCGGATGCGACTCAATGTCAGGCATTTGCTCCGAAAGGGAGATGCTTGTCTAGTACAACCGCCGCCTTTGCTGTGGTGATACCCACTTCGAATCGGTGAGGTCAGGCACAACTCCCCTTAAGTGCTTCGTAATCTCAAATTTGTCTTCCCATTTCATTGAGAAAGCATTCTCGAGCAGAAACCATTTTGTTCTCGCCTCATTCATTACTCTTATAAAAAATAATCTACTTTTCGGCCCGTGCAATTCATGTTTTACCTTTACCGTTCCCCGACGCTCAGGCCTTGCCAAATCCACATGCATCTCCCCCGGGTTCTTTCACCCGACTCTCCTCAGGTTCTGCCACTTTTGCATTCATATAACTTTTTGTCCTTTCTTGTTCCTTGCTTATTTTCAACTTTTTCATGCATGCTGCCCAGTTCATCCCTTGTGCATCTCTCTTTCAGACACCTTGTCAGACCTGTTTCCAAATACTCATTTGTTTCCCAGCCTGTCAGTCTTTCTCTCAGATCCATACATAGTCCATCATACGAGTCTTTTATTTTCTAGACGCCTTACTCGGCTCATTTTCGAGCTTATGCCAAATCAATCACACAAGTCGCTTGCCAGGCCTTTTCTCAAGCTGATGCAATGTCAATTTCTCACCCGTTTCTCTTCTGGACATCTTCCCAGGCCTTTTCTCAAGCCTGCGCAAAGTCAATTACTCATTCATTCTTCTCTTCTGGACATCTTGCCAGGCCTTTTCTCAAGCTCATGCAACGTTAATTATTCATCATTATGCTTATATATAGTATCTTTCTCTTTTGCACACTTTTTCTTCGGTAGATGACACACCTTCCCCCCACTCAAAATGCGATGTCCCCATCGCACGACTAGTTCTCACTCGGAGGTACGCAACCTTTGGCCCACCAACGAGTAGGCGGATGCCGACCCATCAGCCCCAAAAAGGAAGGGTGATTAGTCCTCCCCCTGCCGATAACTCACCTCATCCCCTTACTCCGTCCGACCTTTTGCCGCTTACGAGACGAGCGTCATTACCGAGGTACCTCCTCACATCTGGAAGGCACGTCCAGTCCAAGCCTCCCAGGACCCCGTCTTGTCGTAAGGGCTTCCTCGCGAACCGTTCCTCCCGAGTGGTAATTTTCTGGATCCGGCCTCTTCCTTTCAAGAGAGATGGGGTTCTCAATTAGTCCACGAGTGCAGTTACGAAGACCTCGCAATTAGTCCCGAAGCGGTTGTAATGCTCCGGCGGGGCGGTGTCAATGCTCCGTGGTGGTTGTGGCTTCCACCCGGTACCACGCTCAATTCCTCCCTCTGGACAGTGCTGCTCAACTTAACGCGAGCCGCCGTGGTCCATTCCAAGCGGCCATGCTGGCCCTCAACGACATGGCGTGTGGTTGGGGAGACCAAAAGAGACTAGAAAAAGAAGAATGACTCTCTCGCCCATTTGGTTCCCTCACCCTTTGACGTTTAGGCGTTCAACACGAGGCGCAACCTGAACTTCCTGACTAGAGCTCGTTGTCGAGGTCAGTTCCGGACGTCCCGCACCGATCCAAGCGGTAGGTGCCTTGATCCTTTAACCCTCATCCTCTTACAAGAGGAACAGGTCGTGCTGGAACTTTTTCCCTTACAGGGATAGAGGTCTTGGGGTCGCGGTGCGAGCACCGGTATCCCCCTCCTGCTGAGGCTAAAGACTAGAAAAAGAGAAAATCCATTTCAAGGCTATTTCCAAGTCCATTTCAAGTCGCCTAGGGTCCCTTGACTATGCAATGCAATATTCAATCCTCAATCACTCAATCCAATGCTATTTCCAAGGCTGATTTTCATAACTGGTCCGTCAGCCTCTCCTCAACAAGGCCACCCACACGGCCGGTCTGGCGGTCATTCTCTCAATAGTCATTTCTCAAGGCTGACTCTTCCGCCCACTCAATCCTCAATTTTTTCATTCCTCAACACCCAATCTCTATGACCGTCCCAACGGTCACTGCCCTTCTCGGCTCTAAGGCTGCGCCTTCTTTATCCTAATCTTCTCATTCATGTCTTTCTTCCGCCCCCTTGGCAATTTTCAGTGGCCGACCCACCGACCTTTTCCATTTCCTCCATTCAACTCATTGGCTATTTCAATGACCGACCCACCGGCCTTTTCCATTTCTCTCATCCCATTGGCTATTTCAATGACCGACCGACCCACCGGCCTTTTCCATTTCTCTCATCCCATTGGCTATTTCAATGACCGACCCACCGACCTTTTTCATCTCTCCCATTCATCTCATTGACTATTTCAATGACCGACCCACCGGCCTTTTCCATCTCCTATTGCTCATTCCAGCTCATCCTCAATCAAATGTGCAGGGGACCCCAGTGCCTATTTCAAAAGGAATGACCCTTGTCAAGGGCCATTCCCGAACAACCTGGTTAGGGTCGTTCTTTTCCATTCTCAAGTCGAACAGCCTGGTTAGGGCCATTCCTTTCCATTCTCAAGTCGAACAGCCTGGTTAGGGCCATTCCTTTCCATTCTCAAGTCGAACAGCCTAGTTAGGGCCATTCCTTTCCATTCTCAATGTTAGTGCCCGAGGGGGTGGGCCTCGAGGTTACGGATCCCATTTCTGTCTTGGAGGTTAGAAGGTGGTCATCTCATCTTTTGCGTGCTGTTTTTTTTTTTTCATTTATCACAGTAATGTACCATCCATTCCATTTATCACAGTAATGTACCATCCATTCCATTTTTCACAGTAGTGTACCATCCATTCCATTCCTCATAGTAATGTACCATCCATGCGTACATCCGACTTAGCGTCTAGCACTCGAGTTGGGGCTCGCGACCCCAAGCAGCACTAGCCCACCCGACCGTTTATCCATAACAAAAGACAAAGGCGCCCCTTCCATTTTCACTCTTCCTGATCACTCAGGTTTCGGCTATTCTCAGTCTCATTCATGACTCAGTTGGATTAGGCTCCTAGGGAAGGAGTGTTCTTCACGCCCTTTAACCCATAGGTTCCCTAACCTCTCTTGTACTCGACCAATCATTCAATGTCGTGGTTCGCTCGTCAATCCGTACTCAAGGTTTTCCCCTCTCAAAAGCATAATCCTTATTGAATCAAGAATTCACAATACACCCTCTCCCAATTGGTCTCATCCCAGATCCCACGTCTTTGTCTTATATACCCAAGGTAGCTCATCCAAAAAGTAGCCAAAAAAACTATCTTCTATCTTTATCGTAACACAGCCTTAGCTGACCCTCTTTTCACTCCATCCTTAGCAAGCTTACCCATACTATACACGTTCTCGTCATTCTCATGTCTCTGCAGACAGAAAAGCAGCGATCTTTTTCAATGCTAAGTCAACACCTAGTTCCTATTGCTGCCTTGCGCCTCGTCTTGCCCAGTTCCTTGTCCACCCCGTTCCTTGGCAGACTTCCTAACCCCAGGCCGTAGGTCTCGATCTCTCTTTTCATCCTTACAATTTTATGCAACTCGACCTCGTTGAAAAAATTCCACTGGTGTGGCTTCCACCCCTGCCCTTGCGAGTTTCCGAGTCCTGATAATTCATTCGTGCCTGATGATATTGGTCCATTGCTGAAACCAATGACTGGGCGTTGGCCCGAACTCGTCCTCCCATCTGAAAGCCCCGTCGCCCGGTTGGTGCATCGGAGGCCGCCCCTCTTCCCTAAGCCTTAAGATCTCATCCCTCTCATCCTCGCTGCTGATTTCTATGACTTCTCGCACATCCTCCTCCTCATCCCCCTCGTCTTCAGTCTATATGGGGCTATACCCACCGGCAACGTTCTTTGGATCGTAGGTAAAAGGGACCTCTGTCCCCGTCCCATACCCTTCGCAACTGCCGTGACCGCTTCGTCCTTCAAGCGGGCTCTCCTTTTTCTCCTCGTCCTCCTCACGTTTGTCGCGCATACCTTGTCCCCCCTCGCTTTCCCCATGCCAAGTCTCATGTCGTTCACCCCTGTTGACCCCTTTCTTGTTAGAGACCCGAGCCTTATCTTCCATTTCTGTGTTGCCTCCTTCCACATTTGCCCTTCCCTTTTCGCCCTCACTGTCAGATGATATTTCTATACCTTCTTCCTTGCGGAGGGGTGTGGGGTTTCCTACACAAGCATTTCCTTCCACCCCTGCCTACCACTGACCGGCCCATGAGCCCAATGTACAATTTTCTCTTCGCTGTCCTCCTCCTTTGGCTTGGTCCAGCTTCTTCCCCTCCGGTAGGCCTGTTGATTGCCCCGCTGTCGTTCTCGTTGCCGAATTCCATTTTTGTCTTTTCTCGTTTTACTCCTAAGCCCTGTATAGCAAAACAACACCCGCAATGTCCCTCACACACTCGCGCCTCCCCCCCCCTTTAGGCCGGTAGACATTCCCAAAATGCACCCAGTATCCCTCGCATCATGCCCCTTTTATACATGCAAATGCGTCGTTTGTGATGACCCCATTTTTTCCCGTAAAAAACTATGGTACAATGCCCCAAACATCCCTCCCCATTGTCACACAAGCCAGATATTGCAAACCCCCAAGTCATGCTGTCTTTCAACCTCAGTCAGTCCACGCCAAAGCGTCAGTCCCAAAAAAAAATGACAGTCCCACGAACATGGTCAGAGACAAACCATAGTGTGGGCAAGGTGTGGTCAGTCTTTAGCTTGTGGCTCCCCTGTTTCCTTATCTTCGGCCTCCTGAAGACATTGTTCCACTGGGTCCCGACTTAGAAACCTGACCAGTCGTTGCCCCGGGAAGGGCCCTTTCAATCCAGTTTCATCCAAATCTTTTAGTTCGAAGGTGTTCAGTCTCACCCGCTTGGCGACCCGGTAGGGGTCTTTGAACATCTTTCCCAACTGTTCCGGCCAAGTACTTTCTAGTGCTGAGTTCCTTAGCAATATCATCTCCCCCACCTGAAGTGGTTCCTTTCTGACATTCTTAACCTGGTCCCACCTTGCTTTGTCCCTCATTCTGCTGTCCAACACCCGGCTGGCGATGTCTTCCATGACCTCCTCATTCTTAAGGATTTGTTGACACCTTGCCTCAATTAATTCTTCAGTGGTCATTTGCGGATCATCATCTAACCTGTTCCAGGTAGGTACCAAGGCTTCCACAGGAAAGTCGATCTCTCTTCCGTACCAAGCTCTGCCGGGATACATCCTGTTGTCCTTTTAGGAGTCATATTCTCTGCAAAGACAGCCTTCTTAAGATACCTAGGTCAGTTCCCCAAATGGTCTGCTGCGAGCTTTGCAATCGTGTTCTTCAAGGTTCGGTGCCCCCTTTCCATAGGTGCATTGGCCTCCGGGTGATACGGCTTGATGAGTTTGATCGGTACGCAGAGTCTCTTAAGCATCCCCAATACTTCTTGGTTCACAAACTCCGTCCCATTGTTTGCTATACACCTCCTGACGAACGGATGCCTTAAGTAGAAGTCTTCTATCCAGTCCGCCACATTCTTCCCTGTCTTTTTCTTGAGGGCGACCGCCTCCACGAACCCGCTCAAGTTGTCTCGCGCATCCAGGATATACCTGTATCCATCCGTTGACACAGGCATGACCGCAAGGTTGAGGTGGACCAGATGTCCCGACCCTAGCACCCGCGTTGGCCTAAGCGGCTCGAAGACCCGCACCGAGCTTCGTTCTTGGCAAATAAGGCAAGTCTGGCAGTATATGGCGACTATGCCTGCCATGCCTGACCAATAATAGAGTGGCGTTATCTTTGCAAGGGTTCCTTTGGACGACCAATGACCTCCAGCCAACCCATCGTGCATTGCCTGGATAACATCTACTTGCCTAGATCTTCCGCACACAACCCTTCTGGGCATAGCACCTTCCTCCCTTTGGAACAAATGCCCGCTCCTTAGGACGTACCTTTCGGCTTCTTCTCTCGCTTTAATACTGACTTCCGTAGGTTGTTTGTTTCCTACCAGCAACAGCCTGATCTCCCGAAAGAGCCCTTCGTATGATTGAACATAGAAAAACTCCTCTCCTTCCTTACCCCCATCCTTTCCTTCCCGCATCTGATTTACCACCCATTGCAACTCTTTCCTTTCCCAAGACTCCACCAAACTCATCACTGTTTCCCGGCCTCCCTCGACTGCCATCGCTATTCGTTCCTCTTTCGGTCCTACTATCGCTCCCCATGAGTCCTTTTCTTCTCTGCGTCCTCGAATGGTAACTGGTCCTTCTCTAAGTTCTGCTACTACGGCAGGTGCCCCCTTCTCCAAAGTCTGGATCAATAGTTCTCCCGATGTGCATCCTCCGCCCATCATTTCGTTATCCACCGCGAGAGTCCCTCCTTCGTATTCGAGGAACGCGTCTATGGGCTCTGCATCCTCCATCCCTTCGGGAGTAATGCAAACCCCACTCAGCCCATCTGCCTTGTTGCGGATACCAGCAATCCGTTCGATCTTGTAATCGAACTGCCAGATGAATCCTACCCATCTTCCCACCGTCGGATCTATAGGCCTGTAATTCTTTAGAGCCCCTGCGACATTCGTCGGATCGATCCTTAAGATGAACCGCCTCCCAAATAGGTACGCCTGAAAGGTCTTAAGGCAATGCAGGATGGCTAGGACTTCCTTCTTGAATTGCGAGTACCGCCGTTCTGCGGAGTTCAGGGTTCTACTTTCGAACCTAATCGACCTCTCTTTTCCTCCCTCATCCCTTTGAAATAACACACCTCCTACGGCCAAAGGTCCTCCATCCGTCTCTAGGATGAAGGGTCGTCCCACATCGTCATTAAAATAGGGCGCAGACAGGGCGACTGTCTCAGATGTCAATATGTCTTTGAGCCTTTGGACAACTCCTTCTCGCTCCTCCGTTCAATCCATGGTTCCTTCTTTCCTGATTATAGCCCGGATAGGCTCAGCAATCTTGGCAAAGTTCTTAATGAAGATCCTCCAAAAGCCGACTACGCATAGGAATGCCCTTACCTCCGTCGTCGTGCGCAGTGGTGTCGCCTACTGTGATATCTTGTCGGTCTTTGCCGAATCTCGCTTCCTGCCGTAAGCACCGCAACGAAATCCTAGTATAGTTACCTCCGGAACTGCTAGGATACTCTTCGGTCCACTAGCCGTAATGTTGTATACTAGGAACCGGCGGAGTAAGTCCTTGATGTCCTGCAGGTGGTCCCACACAAAACGTCGGATCCCTGGCTGGACTTCCGTCTCGTCCTTTTCCTGCGCGCCTTTGATCGGATTGTCATCGATGTAAGGTTCACATTTTTTTGGGAACATGTCCCCGGCCACGGCGAGCATCCTGCGTTGCGCTTCGGCCACCGCGTTTGTGAATCCCATAGGTGTCACTTGCATCTGTAGCTGGCCTACGGGGGTGTGCATAGCGGTGTATGGCCTGTCCCGAACATCCAATGGAAGCTGGTCGTACCCTGAGTACAGATCTATCAGGGAGTAAATGCTCCGACCGGCGTGAGATTTTCCTAATAAGTCAGCCTGAGGTAGCGAGTCAGCATCCCGGATGGTTACCGCATTCAACTTCTGCAGGTCCTGAATCCACCTTAGTGTCTTGTTAGGCTTCCGAAAGACGAACCACCGATTTGCGTATGACGATGCCGTAGGCTCTGCAACGAAGGAGTCCATCTTCGCTCGGACGAGGTCTGTTACTTCTCCTCCTATCCCAAATTCATAGGATGACCCCTTGTCATTCCAGCACTCATGTTCTACCGTGTGGATTCTGACCGGAGGGATCAACTTCGCATCCAGTCGTCCCTTTTGGTGATCACTAAAGGCAAATGCCAGGTGAAACTCCTGGCAGGTCCTTTTGATCAGGCCTGTTTCTTCTTCTGTTAAAAACCCGTCTATCCCTATCTTCATTGCGTTCGCTATCTCATCTGGTATCCGATGTCCCTCCGTCGCCCTTCTTTCTCGGATCACTCGAAGGACCTCTTCCTCCTTCTCCATAGCCTCTTCCTTTGATGTCTCTAGCAGGATCGAACCCGGTTTTGCTTTCTTCCCTACCGGCTTGTACTTTCGAACACTTCCTTCCGGGATCTTTCTCCTAAAAAATGAACAGTAGCAATTGCCCCCATCGCCTCTACGACTCGTGGTTGAATACTAACTAGTTTCCCATTCAGGCAATATCCCTTTTGCACCTCTCTTTCGAACTTGGCCAAGGCTGCCGAATCCACTCCTACCTTGTGGTATCTGAGGGCCTTGATGAGTTGCAATAAATTGGGGATCTCGAGTGCGATTTCCGACCGTCTATGCGTACTTCTTTCCGTTTGGGCAGGCTAGCACGAAGTTCGACCTCTGACTCCTTTTCCGCTACCATAACACCTATGACTTCGTCCTCCTGCCTCCTCTTCTTCTGGGGCAGACCCATCTTGATCCATTCCTTCTTGTTGAATGCTTCCTCAATCATGATTTCTACCCTTTCTCTCATACCCTCCATCCGTGCTAAAGCCCCTTTCCACGTGTTATCCTCGAACGACGGCGACCATGTTGCCAATTTCCCCTTCGGGAGGTCTCCTCCCGTTCCAAGGAGTCGGAGGAGTTCTCCCCGCCCGGTCACAGGGTCCTCTATGTCTACCATGTATGAGCCATCGTGCAAGTGCATGCCTATCATCTCTACGTTCGCGCACCACGGTCTCCCGAGGATTATGTCGTGGTCCATTTCCTCCATTACGGTTGTCCGCTGAACGACCAGATCGATTCCCTGACCCCTGCCTTCACAGCACACTTCGTGACGTACCCAGCGAACGGGATTTCCCCGCCAGCTCCCCGGATGCTCCCTGTTACTTCCTTGTTTACCGTACATCCCGTGATCATTGCGAAATCTCTCCTTATGAGAGTGATTTCTGCTCCCCCGTCTACTAATGCGTCGGTATGATGACTTCTGATCTGAATTTTCAGTTTCCCTATGGGCAGTGCATGAAATCTAAGCTTTGTTCCGAGTGGTGATCTCATGACTTCGCCGCCCTCTCAGTCGGGCAAGCTCAAACGAATGTCTGCAAAGGCTTTTTCGAGATCCTCCAAGTCCCCGTGACTCCTCTAAAGGTTAGCCACTTCTTGCGGAGCTTCCTCCTCCCTCTCTCCTTCTGGTAATTCGAGGTTGTCACCTATTTCTTCTCGCCTTCGAGTCAACAGTTGTCTGAGCCCCTTGAGCAGCCTAGGCCTAGCCTGCAGCGTGGTCTGAAAAGACACCGACACCATGGTTCCTAGGAGCTTGTTAATTGTGTCGTCGAGCTCAGACAAGGTTAAGATCGGGATTTGATACCGAAACTTCTTCTTAGCGGCGGTAACCTTGTCCGCATGCTCCTCTTCCCTAGGCTCCCCATAGACTTTCTCTAGTTCCTCAGCCTCAGGCTCTGCCTGGGGTTCGGAGCTTCCGACGACCTTCTCCATAATGGTGTCACGGTTAATCCTTCTCCCGGCCGTTCCTAGTGGAGTGGTTGCGTTCACCCTGTCACGTCCGTCGTTTTCCAAAATAAAGTTGACCTGCGGCCCGCGCCCCCGGGGTTGATCCCAGATGATCTCGCCCACCGGTTCGGCTTCTACGACTGTTATTTCTAGCCCGTTGAGCATGATAATTGCTCGCCGCATCCCTCCTGGTGAGTTCCAGTTCACCCGTTCCCCTTGTGCTCCAAATATCTCCCTCTTTAATGACCTCGTACACCTTCTTTTCAGAATATCATGGTTGAGCTTTGGACACGCGCGCATATAATGTCCTATCGCGGTACAATACTTGCATTGCTCGTTAGCAGGATCTCTCCGTCCGAATCCCCGGTTTGCTACACCTGGTGGAACCACAGCTTCCTGGGGCGGAAGGGGGGGCCTGAATACTTGTGCCTGCATAACTAGTAGCGCAATCTCCATCCTTTCAATCTTGTTGTCGACTCCGTGCACCCGTTCGTGTAGGCTTTCAATCCCCTTTTTCACCTTGTCGGCCGTCCTACTGGTCAAGTCTATGACCTCCCCTTCCTTGAGCAAGGCCAACGTGTCTGTCACTACCGTTTTCTCAGCTAGATCTGTTACCGTGCTAAAATCAACATCCCGCGTGTTTACGAACTTGCTCGTCTGTTGGCAAACTGACAGGATCTTGTCTTTGTCGAACTCGGAGAACTGCCTGAGGAAATACTTGCTCATTATCCGGTCCGTGACCCCGGGGATCCTTAGTGCTACTAGAGTAAATTCTCGTAGGAAATCATTGTATGTTGCGAAGTTTTTCCTCTGAACTACCGCTAGGTCGGCCTCCGTTGCCATTTTCTCTGCCGCTAGGTACTTCCTCATCATCACATCCCGGGTCTCCTTCCAAGACCGGCTTGCGACCACAATGGCCATTATGTCCTGTCCTAGGCTTAACGACACATGCTGTCCTAGGTGCTCCATCTTTTCCTCTTCGGTCCATTTCAACAGCGCAGCCAAATTCTCGTAATCTATCAGGAATTTCGTGATGTTTACCCCATCAAACGTCAACTTTTTCTTATCATCCGCTAGGTAGCCTTGATTTTTGTTCAGTGCTCGCGTGAGGGACGACACTATCTTCCTAAGGCCGCCCTTGGAGCTGCTGGCCTCGCCTGCCATACTGTTATCCGGACCTTCTTGCCAGCCTTCTGTCCCTCCCTGGTTTCCGCAGTTCCTTCTGGGTCAAACCATCCCAACACTCTTTCCCTAAGGCTCCAAAGTCCTTCGCACCCTCGTGCTACTGCTGGCGTGGTCGGCAGGCGACTAGCCCTACTATCTATGGCTGGCGGGGTCGTAGCCTTTTCCGCTTCCATCCCCGGAGAGTTCTCTCTCTCTTTCCTTCTCTTGCTCGGCATTCCCCCACGGTCACTACCTTTATCCCCTTGTCCAGTCCCACCTCAGCCGATTTTTCGCTCGTCCCGGGGTTCCTCATGCGGAGGGCCTTCTTCGTTCCCAGTCATCATTTCCTCCATCAATCTTGCCTTATACTCTGCGGTCTTTTTTTCTATCTCGGCTAGTTTGCGCCTCGCATCCGTGACCCTTACTTTCTTAGACACGGCTCCTTCCGAGTTTCGGGGGCTTGTCCTGTCCTTATTTTTGCCCTCCTTGGTCTCCTGAGTCCCTTGCCTGCTTCCCCCGACTTTCCCCGAGCTTTCTCCTGAGGAGATCTCCTTCCGGTTCCCTTTGGTACCATCCGGATTTATCGATTCTCCGTCTTTCTGCCCCTCTTCGCTTTGTACGACACTGCCTCCTAAGCCTGATCCTCCTTCACTCTTACGGTTATCTGCCTCTTCCTCCGTTGCCATACTCGCCTACTTCTGCATAACCAAAGGATTCCCCAGAACAAACGCAGTGCGAGGCATTTAGGTTTCCTAGGTTCCAATCATGTTGGTTTATCCCTTTTACTCGGCAATTAGGCTTTTTCCCATTCCAATTTGCTGATGGCTTTCTTAATATGGGGTCGCGTCCGGCTTTGCTGCCTCACCGAGCTAAGGGCGTGACTTAGCTACCCTTATCACCGGCTCGTTTAGAGCGCCCTTATTCCGTTGGTCGGTGCGTAGGGGTCCGGGTTGGGCAACCTGCTAGGAAAAGTTTTCCTGCGCAGTGTTCCCTGTCTAGCGGTTTATTGATCATCCGGGTCCGAGGCCCCTTTCTTATTCACATCGGCGGATTTCCGTACGCAGCGACTATACTTGATCAGCCCTATTGGCCTGCCTGCAGATCCTAGTCCCGCTCGCGCCCTCGCAGTGCTTCTGGTTCGGTCGGCTCCTCGAATAGCTTAGCCACCCCTGCCAAATAACTCTCTCCTATCTAGATTTCCCTTTGGATTATGCGTTCGCACCCTGTCCAGTCTAGCCGGGGTGCACGAAACATCAGGATGTGGATGACTTCTAGTGATTCGTGGGCCCTGTTTCCCCAGAATGACCCATGTTTCACAGCGACATCATAGAATATCCCAATGGTCGGAGAGGGAAAGTGTTCTGCCCATATTATTGCCGAATCTGCCAGCTCCCGCGCCCTTGAGAGGCTCCCGAAAACCAGGTCTATCATGAAACGGGGGACTCGACATCTTAGCGGTGTGGTTGGCGCCTTGAATTTGTGCCATCCCCCCATTTCCACCCGGGTAAGTAAGCCTACGTTCCTTCTACCCCTGACCGATTGTCCTATCCGGGTCAACGTCCGGGCGGCCCTTTGAAAAACCGGCGCCAACTCGTGACCTTGTGCTATCTCTACCCCCAACGAGTGCCAGCCGATCTCAGACAGATACATGGTCCCGGTAACTTCCAGATTGGAAAACAGATCGTCCCCGGGTCCCCAATTGAGTCTCATCCCTGTCCACCGACATTCTACCAACATAAAGGCGGCGTCCCTCCCCAAAGTCACAGCCCGCCACTCTATATCGAACCCCCGATAGGTTGAACTCGACGGGAGGAATACTTCCCATCATCCCCCGTTATTCCACGGCGGTCCGGGGTACCGGGGTTGGCGCACCATTCGCACACGGGCCTGAAGTTCCTTATGCTCACGTCTTGCTGCCATGGTTACCTTGGTGATTTCCTGCATAGTCCACATAGAAAGTGTTACAGCCAATCCTTAGAAACCGTCCACCTACTGCCCCCTTGCCCTTCGTGTTTTCATTCCTCTTTTCTAGTCCCAACTATCCCTCTACACCCCTGGGAGCAGTAGCCTCCTCTGGCTGTTCGTACAACCGGTAGAGATCATCTACGTAGGTCATGCCCCGTCCTACCTCCTGCCGGATGACTCTCCACATGTCCTCATTACTTATCTGTGGGACTCCCGGCCTAGTATTTACTATTGCTCGTAGAATGCAAAGCACCTCGCGCCCCTGTTCGTCCCCGGAAGGCCCCATCTCTAGGAAGGCCCGATAGTATTTTTGATACATTAATGCTCTGTCAGGATTTAGCCTAGTTACTGCAGTCACCGCCTGCTCCACCCGCTCTATGCCTCCATTCGTCTTAGCAGGAAGGTTGGTACAATCATTCGTACAACCTCATTTGGCAGCTCGAAAACCCCCGCCGTGGCGACTTTTACCTCCTCCGTTACATCATCTCTTCTGGGTCTGCAAACTCAAACCCCTCTCGCCAGGTTATTTGCCATGCCCCTTCGAACATTCGCACGGGGTCATCTCCGGAAGCCAAAGCAACCCCAAAGGTCCGCCATCCCCCTTCCGACAGGTGTAAGGATCCCGTCGCATGTACACGCCCTGGGAGGTTCAAGTCTATGCCTCCGAACTCCCCTCTCGCACGCCATTCCAGCTCCACTACTAAGTACACCGTATCCTCCACCAACTCTACCCCCACCCAGTCCATTACCGGATTACTTACCGCATTTCTTGCCGGCAGGCTTATTTCGACCCTGCCTTCCGATATTCTTGGTGGCAGGATCCCACGAGGTCTATCCTCCCAGAACGTCATTCGCCGGGCCATCTCGCAATGTCTCCTTTCCTGCTTTCTTAGTCCGTTTGCTGCACCCACCGAGATTTCATGCCTCTCGTGTTTTAGTCTTTCAACCCTCCCTATTTATCGTACACTGGTTCCTGCCGCTATCCCCAAATCATACACGTCCAATTCTACCCCCTCCCATTTTCCGGTTACTGCCACTTTCCCCTTGTTTTGATCCTCTGTGCGCCATCTACGGCCTAATGTACACACCCCCTTTCTTATGTTACACCCTAATTCACATGCACCCTCCATACTCCGTCCTTCCTGTGGGGCTCGAACTCTTAGCCCCCTTTAATCAAACCAGCGCACCTCAAACAACAAAAAAACATCGTCTACAAGAGATGGTGCGACCGCCGCCTCCCGGCTAACTATGGCGTCCCAAGTTTCAGCGCTTACCTCTAGGCGGTCGTATTTACCTATCCTTAGGATGGTGATGACCTCCCCAGCTTTATCTCCGTAGAAGGGCCCATATTTTAAGGAGAACCTATAAAACTCCTCGGTCAGCCAGACACATTCTATGTGAACTTTTCTCATGGAGTCGGCTACGTCTGCTATGTGCTCAAAACCTCCGAACCAGTCGGCCACGAACTCGGGCACCCAAACTGTTATGTGCAGGCAGGGAGGACTGAGTTCTTTCCACCCTCCCATCACAACTTTGCTGCTAACTTCGTCCCACCCATCATTGGCGAACCTCTTGCCTTCCCTTCGGGTTCGGGCCTCTGCATCCCCTAGAAGCCACATCGGGTCCTGTCCCATTGCTAACATGGTGCAAAACACGTGCCATCCATCCTCGGAAAGGACAATCGTTCCAACTGACTCTACCTTGCCTTCTGCTATATCATCCCAACCTTCCTCTTCCCTTATCGGGCTCCAAATCCGCTCTATCCATACATATGACAAGTCCCGGGCAACCTCAAACCCAATCCAGTCGCACATGGTCCCTCTCCATCCGTTCCCTGTTGGTATAGGCATTTCTATTCCTCCTCTGAGTCGCCGTGGTTCCCAGACTTTGAAGGGTTAATCCATCATCCTTTCTTCTCTAGTCATCTTTCCCTTTCCTGCACAATATCAGGCCACCCGTCCTTCCTAAGTCAATTTTCCCCACCCCTCTTAGAAGTCTCAATCCTCTATCTCTTCATCTTCGTCTTCATCACTGAAGTCGTCCTCCTCGTCGTATACAAACTCCCTTATCCCATCTAGAAACGTCTCCCCTATTGCCACATTCCTGTAGACTATCCCCCGATGCACAGCGCTAGGGACAAAGATATTGTCTATGCTAAGGCAGTTTAGTATCTCGGCCAGCTCCTCCGCCCAGTTCCCCTCGAACGGCCCCATCCCTACTGATAACCGAAAAAAATCTTGCCTAGCGCATTGGTATAGCCCGAGGTTCGTCATGGACTGACATATCCGTACTAGCCTGCTCCGGGTTCCGAAAACTGCATCCACTAGGAAGGAGGGCAGCACACATCGCATGGTTCTTACGGGTCGCCTCATGCTTCCTCTATCCCCAAGTTCCACCCGTACATCTATCTTTTCCATTTCCATTTCCCTCCGTTGACATGCAACCCACACAACCTCTGCTTCTGCCTTCCTAAACAACTCGTCCGGCGTATTCCCGAGTGCCAACTCTATGATCATAGCTTTCTCCCCATCTTGCGATAAGTAGACCCACCCCCGGGCTTCCACTGTCCCTCGGAATTCCAAATCCATTAAACTTGGTGGCAACCTCGTCAAGCTGACATTAGTCCATATTGTTTCTATCCAAAGGAAAGCATCCTTTCCTTCCAGCATTACCGTTTGATACGCTGGTTCAAAGTCTCTCCACGTTCCATTTTCCGGGAGGACGACCAATACCCCATCCTTTACATCTACTGGCATTTCTGGACCGCTAGTATAGATCGGGGAAGGTAACCATCGCGCCATCTTGTTTTCAGCACCCGACCCCTGTTTTCATAAAAAGACACCAACCGATCCTTTTGGTCAGGTCAACCCTTGTCTTAGATGAGAATTATTTCAAACCCCTCATCAAGGTCTCCTTGCTTTATCTCCACTTTCCTACGTACCTCCTTCCCATAATTCCCTCAACCGGCCATCCATTTGCCCACATTCTTTCTCTTGGTTTCATTCCAATTAACCTCTATCCTCCTTCCTTCCGATCATCTCTCACTCGTGTGGACTTAGAAGGGAGGGGGAATAGACTTAGAAGAGTGTTCGTCCAATAATCCAAGCTCAATC